TATATATATGCTTTTTTTTTACTTTAGAATTTAACCACACTTGTTTGATACACTTTTAAAACACTCCCACTTGCCTTCTGTGTTTTGTTTTTTTTAGAATAGTTGGTCCCACTGTGTATAATGCAGTAAGAATTGCAGCTTATTAAGTTAGCTTTTTTGAAATTTATGGTTCTTGTACCAACCTGCGTCCGTTTTCTGTAACTTACAGTAGATGTGATTAAACTATGGCCTCGATTACTCAAGTTGTCTATAACTTGCACATCTGTAATGAGCTCCATGTTGTTTGAAATGAATAGATCTAGCAGAGCATATTTCCGTTTTGGGGCTTCCACCAACTGTTCCATAAAATTGTCCGGCAATAAGTTTAAGAAATGACAGGCCTTTGTTGAGTGTGCAGTATCCATTTGCCCAATCAATATCAGGATAATTGAAGTCACCCATAATAATAACATTGTCCTGTTTCCCAGCCATTTCAATCTATGAAAGGAGCTGAAACTCTTCTTCATCCTTTATGTTAGAGGGGCCAATAACATACTCCCACCAGTAATTTACTATTCGATGTGCTCGTAAACAGCTCCAACCATAATGACTCTACACCCTCACAGTTTTCATTAGTGATATCATCCCACATGTTCACTTTCACATCGATACACAAGCATGCCATTCCACCTCCTCTACCAATTCTGCCCCTCCGAAATAGAGTGCACCCCTGAATATTAGCAGCCTTGTCATGCGAGCTGTCCAACAAGGTTTATTAAATTCCCACAAAGTCAATGTGCTCCTCAACTAACAGAAGTCATAGTTCTTCTTACTTTTTGCTTTTGTGAACATAACTTTGTAATTTGTACAGTGTTTAATATTCCATTATTGCTTATCTTTAGGTTACAGGTTGATTCTACAATGTTTTTTTCTTATATGACTTAAGAGCCCGTAACTGACCAAAAAGATAACCCAATTATCCAGGAACTCAAATCCCTCAGCCACTTGTTCAGCTCCTTAAGCTTCCGTGCCTCTCAGGTGTGGCTCCTGACACAGGTAGTCTTTTGTGAAAATACTACATTGGTGGTAGCCTGCTGCTAAATACCCTCTCCCCCACAAGCCCTGGGGCGTTGGTTGTGGGGGTGCAGGCAGGGGTGCTTATTCACATTGGGGTACCCCTTTAATAAAGGGGCACCCAGATGTGCCCCCCACCTTGTGCATAAGTAAGGGGTACTTGTACCCATACCCATGCACTAAAGGGTCAAAATAAATTGTAAATAAAAAGACCAGACGTTTGAAAAAATACTTTATTTGAAAAAAAAAAAAAGGATTTTGACAAGTCATTTAATAAAAAAATAAAAAAAATTGATCCACCGACGTAAATCTAGGGACAATCAGGACATCCAGCGTTGTCCATGACAATGACGACTTGACAAAGTAAAACAAGAAAAAATAAATAGAAATATATATTTTTTAAACCCAATGCCTGCAGACCCACCGCTCGCAAAAAATTCTGACAGATGCTGGCAAAACATAAACAATTGGGCGGAGCTAGCGGTGACATCACTGCTAGCTCCACCCAACTGTTTACATTTGTCCAAGACCTGACAGGACTTAGCTGTGAGCCATGATTGGGCAAAGTCATTACTTTGCCCAATCATGGCTCTTACAGTTCACTGTGCTGTAATTGGGCAAAGTCTTGCAACTGACCTGTGGTCAAATGCATTGCTTTACCCAATCAGGGCTTCACAAGGCACTCTGAGGTACGCAGTACCTTGTGGGTTCGTGTGTTCACCGAACACACAAACTACCGATGTTCGGCTTAAACATCGAGACCATCCCTAGTGGCTATACATCGCTATTCAGACATGAGTTAGATTGGGACACATTTGTTTGGTATTATACAGCTACCCAATCACAGTGTCTGGTAAAAGGAAGTCTTGCATAATCTACTTCCTTTGTGCCTCTGAGACGCTGTGGGGCCGAAGGCCAATAACTATAAAAGAAGCTGATGCTGGAAGATGTGAAAAGGTGTGTCCCAATAAACCATATACTTTAGGGTCACTCGCCCTTCACCAGGCCCAACAATCAATAAAGCACCACGGTGCACTTTGCATGGTGCTTTCTTTAGACCAGAGAAAGGGCTTGATTCTGTTTGACTCCAGTCCTCCCCTATGTATTATGTGACTGAATTCTAGAATCCTGAGAGCATTGACTGGCTGAAGGCTGATGACTAGTGGTTAATACTGCAGTTATAGATGATTCCATTGTGTGCTGGTAACAAGATCACTTAA